AGTGGCGAATTCGATGATCATCATCGACATCTTCATAGGCAAAAACTTTTACGATCTAAACCCCCTGATCTACACCCCCGCAGAATGTTCAGGAGTGCGCCTGCCACCTGGGGCCACCGCCGTTCCTTCTAGGTTTGTGTGCACGGCCAAGGAAGGAGAGGCTAAAGCACGTTTGGTGGTGCAGGGCTGTTTCGAACCAGGTTCTGAACATCGCGTCGTTGATTCCCCTGCGCTCAACAGGAAGTCTGTCAGATTTCTTTTGTGGCTGGCTGCCTTGCGCAGATGGGCGCCGGAAGCGTGGGGCGCCCGAAAAGCGTTCCTGCAGGCCGAGACCGACGCTGATCCGGCCTACGACAGTTCTCCCGTCTTCGTTGTGCCTCCCAAGAGCGCACCAATCCGGTCCGGATTCGTATGGAGGTTGCGCAGGGGGAAGGCGTTGCGCGGTCTCCGCCGAGCACCGCGCGCGTGGTTCTTCCACATGCGCCGTCTCCTCCTCGAGCGTGGCTTTCAACAGTCCGTTTGGGACCCGAGCGTGTTTCTTCACTTTGAAGACGACCGTCTCACAGGTTTTGTCGGGCTTTATGTCGACGACGCGTTGTTGGCAGGAGAAGGGAAGTTTTGGGATATGATGGATTCGCTACCCCTTCAGTGGGGCTCCCAGCAGAAAGACGACTTCACGTTCTGCGGTTTGCACGTCTCTGTGAAGCTTCCGTGGGTATCTTTGGACCAGGGGGAGCGCTGTCGTTCCCTGGCGCTGATATCCGTTCCGCCCCGCCGGGCCCGTCAGCCCAACGCTCCTGCGACAGAGCCGGGGCGCGCCGCGCTGCGAGCCGCTCTCGGCGAACAGGTCTGGCGCGCAGATCAGACCTGCCCCCGCGGCGCTTTTGCGCGTAGTTCCACTGCGCCCAAGGTGCAGTCTGCAACAGTGTCCACCCTCCTTGAGGCCAACAAGAACGCTTGAAGACATAGGGGGGGGGGGGGGGGGTGGCTTTTTATTTTGGGCTCATGGATCCGTCCAAAATCTGCGTGTACACGCGCGGCGACTCGTCCAAGGGCAAGCCGCCGCAGCGAGGCATGGCCACCTTCATCGGCGAATCGAACCTAGAGGGTTCTTGCCCCATTGTGCGTGCTTATCTTTATCGCTGGGCTTCCAAGAAGCAAACGAGGGCGACTGGCTCCGCCATGGCCACCGAAAGCCTTGCGGCCGAAAGCGCCCTTGATGTGCAGCGCGCGACGCGGAGGAGGATTCAAGAGGCATTGAATCTAGAAGAACCGCCCGCCGGACTCCTCTTGATTGATTCGTGGTCTCTTGTCACGAATACGTACTCCACCACGCCACGCGTCGCGGAAGAAGACTTGAGTCCATCCCTGAGTCGCGCCAGGGAGGCGTGCGCAGTTTGGCAGAGAACAGTAAACAACAACATTCTTCTTAGTGATTTGTCTTGGGCACCTGATGCCAGTATGGTCGCTGGCCCGCTGACTAAGCCAAACAGCAATCCATCGATCATCCTCGACCCTATCAGGGTATGTTCGTCGATCTGCGTTCGGCCGCGAGACCGACGAGCGCTGCTTCGTGCTACCTGTCGCAGCCAGTTGCGGCTCATGGCGGACCGCCGTGCCGTGGCCTCCCGGCCGGCGGAAAGCTGGAGTTCGCTATGGTTGCTGCCCCTGCCATTGGTGCTCGGCCCCGGCCAAGTGCGGCGCCAGGGACCACGAGCAAGGCGTCTGCTCCAGCACCTCCGCCGCGCCGGCCGCCACCTACAGCGCTGGCGCCGCCGGTAGAGCAGCAGCTGGCCGCTGTGCCAGCCTGCAGGCTCAACGCGATCGAACGCCATTTGGTCGCAGAGAGCCCCCGGAGCTTTCGCGCCGAAGTGCCTGCGCTTCGCGGGATGCGGGGCCGCCGAGACCTCGAGCGCCCCGAGCAGGCGGAGAGGGCCGTGGGCCTCCTGAGGCAGCAGGCGCACGCGCAGCATATGGGCAATATCTTGACGGACAAGCTCGCGCAGGACAAGCAGCTTCGGGAAGCTGGTGCGCTTCGGAAGGAGAAGCACCATAGCGTCTTGTACCGGCCGGATGTGGATCTCTGCGGGCACTGGATGTCTTCTCGCCTGCTGCGGGACCGCGAGAAATCCAGAGACAACGTGCCCAGATCAGGCTGGAGGGCGCAGAGAGGGCCATGCAGGAGAGAGCTCTGGCCCCAGCGGGAGAGGCAAAGGCAGACACTTCAAGGGTCGATCTGTCTCCATCCCCAAGCTTTGACAGCGGCGCTGAGACTCCCAGTTGCGACGGAAACGACGAGGGGGGCACCCCGAGCAAGCCCGAAGATAATCGCGCTGCCCAGGCAGCCTCCGAGAGGGAGGCAAAGGACTGGCACGGCGTTTTCTCGAAGACCGCAGACTGCCCGAAACTGAGACTTTCCACTGACAGGAACTTGAAGCGCGAGCCCCTGAGCCCGGCCAGGCGCAGGAAACGCTTTGACAACCGGAAGGCCAAGAAGAGAGCCAAAGCTGAAGCAAAGAAGACTGCCACTTGCTGAACTGAGCTTCCTCTACTAGCTGCCATTTCTCTTCTGTACAGCAACTAAAAGAAATAATGGTCAGGTTGTCAACCGTCCAGCTTTCACCATTTAGTTGCCTCTTCTTCCTCTCTTCTTGCCTTGTCTCTCCTGGTCCCCCCATCCATCCATTCTCGTGCACTCCGCTGCCGTTTAGGGCCCTTCAGCCAGAGCGCCCTGCCGGGAAAAGATGCGATCCTCGATCGACGAACCGGTCCGAGATCGACAGCGCGCCCCCCTCGCTGCCCTTCGTGGCCCCGTTGCTGCCCTCAGTGGCCCCGTCCTTGCCTTCCGCGGCCCAATGTACGTATGCCTTTCGTGGCCCCCGCTCGTTCGCGCCCGTTGTGGCCCCATGTGCCTGCCCTTCGTGGCCCCGCCGTCGCCGTTTGTGGCCCCCTCTGTGTCCTACGTGGCCCAGTTGCTACCCTCAGTGGCCCCGTCGTTGCTTTCCGTGGCTCCGCATTGTCTGCCCTTCGTGGCCCCAGCTCGTTCGCGATCTTCGTGGCCCCATGCGCGTTCCCTTCGTGTCCCCGCTGTCGTCCTCCGTGGCCTACTTCGTGTCCTTCGTGGCCCTGCCGTCGTTCGCTCTCGCTGTCGCTTTCGCTCGCTCGTCGTCGTCGTCGTCGTCGTCGTCGTCGTCGTCGTGGTCGGTCACCTGCCCGTCCCTCCTGGGGTCGACGGTCCGCGCCCGCCCCGCCCGTCAGCGCTGCCGCTGGCCAGGCCGACGGTCCGCGGCCGCCCCGCCGCTTGCCGGGGCCCGGCCTGCAGGGGAGAAAAATATACCCCCCCCCCCAAGAGGGGTTCGATCGCATGCGAAGAGGGCGGGTATCGAGGGTTTGGGA